GGTAGTGCTTGTTGAAGGTGCCACGCTCGATCAGCAGATGGTCTATCTCGGCGCGCAGCCTGTTGTTCTCCACCAGCATGGTGTTGAAGTTCACGTTCGTCTGAAACGCGACAGAAACAAGGTACAACCTGTGACAGCAGTGTTTTCTCACGCGGATGGAACTCAAGAAATCGGTGACAGCAAGCGTAACATAAGGCTTTACTTAATAGAAAACATTCACGTTGAGCATCATTTTCAGAGAATTAACAGTTATTTAAATGACCCGGCCCATTATGGTGACCTGACATAACCTGAGCCTCGTTTGGCTCGCGAAATGTGCACATCATAGCTGCGGTGTTACCAACAGGTCCAGTGTCCGGGTGCCCAAGTAAACTGTAGTGCAGTTCACCCGCCCGAGCCTTTCACACCACTTTCAGTGGCATGGAGGCTGCCTGAGGATTCATCTACTTTCCCGTGACCGGTCCGCGGTGGCAATAGCTGCGATGTCTTCCTCCGCCATGACGGCATCTTTTTTAATCAGTGTTTACGCTTTGACACACCTGTGAACCCGCGCCCAGCAGCTGGGGGGGGGGGGGGGGGAAGGTGAATTCCCCTGCACGGTTTATCAAGCACAGGTAAAAAAAACTAACACGCGAAGAAGCATACGATCTTCAGCACCTATTTATCCATCGATTTTGCATCCTTCGTGCTGAATTCAGACTTTTGATCTACCGTGATCAACCTCAGTCAGACCAAAGAGACCAGCCTCTAAAAATGTTTTGACCACCCGCATCTTTGCTGTGGGTCTTTTGCCACTGTTCAGACTTGCTTGAGTAATAGAACACGATGGTACCTACAGTATGTATGTTTTACATTTATCGAAAGAAGCGTGGTCAGTGGCCTAAAGTCAGGTAAATGTTTGTTATTTTGTCGTAAACAATGCAAATTCGTACGTATTTGTGTACAGTTTTTTAGTTTGTGTATAAGGAAAACTATGGGTACTCTCTTACCTTTACAGGAATCACATGACAGCAGATCACATGACCTTGGCCCAGGACATGACCTACCCCTCTGCGCACCTTCCGCAAAACGTGTTCTGAGCTCAAAATAGACAGTTTTAGTAGGTAACTGTTAGAGGCCACAATAGGTCACGTGGGGACATGCAAGATAATGAGGCATTCAAAGGTCAATGACCTACGTTACCATTAGAAGAGAGGCCAGATGAACGAGTGCGACGCGTGTTTCTGAAGGTGATGGTGCAAAATTTAATGCACCACCGAACCTGTTCTCAGTTTGTTACAAATACATTGCCAAGCAATGAAGGGAACATGTACAATGTAGTCAACAGCTATGCGATCGAGTACCTGTAGGTGTATAACACGTCATTTCTGACTACAGAAAAGCATTATGCTGGTCACATAGACCCGGTTAGCACTTCAATTTTTTATTGGGATGACGCATATATTTGACCTATGTTGACTTCAGATGACCCCTGGGTGAGCTTAAGATGGTATTTATACGTCCCGAATACTTTTGTCCCGCAGTTGCACCATATAAAAAAGTCTTAATCCGGTGCACGTTGCGAAAAAAAAACATTGTTCTTAAAGTCTACTGGTGGACCAATTTTGAACGGCGACCTGATCTGACCTGACCCATGTGGGGGAACAGAAATTGTCGGAATGTACTACCCAGTCTAAACGCTTATTTTGATACCCTAAATACCGTTTTGACGTGTGAACATAGCTTTCAACTGCATTTATCGAGACGAACTTTTTTACCTTTCGTGACCTCTGGTGACCTTACACTTGACCTGGCCCCACAAGGCCCAATATTTTGTATCCACTCTTTGTGATTTGACGGGGCCACCAACACGTCATTTTTTTCTCATACGGCGTCTGGAAGTTCGACATCCCAGGGAGGAAGTCAACTATCTTCCCTCCGGCCGGACGCGGGCTGAATCTGCTCGTTCTGTTCGCCGTCTTCTTAATAGATATGAATCATACTTATTATGGTTTGATCTCTCAACGAAGTCTAGCCACATATTTTTCGGCATGTAACGCCGCACGCTACCACCGGTCACCAGCGGCGCTGCCGGCGAACATCCTCCCCGGCACCGCATCTCCAGCGCCGCATCCCCGCCGCACGCTACCAGCGGCCACCAGCGGCGCTGCCGGCGAACATCCTCCCCGGCACCGCATCTCCGGCGCCGCATCTCCGCCGCACGGCAACGCGCGTCACCTTCGGATGCGGCCATATCTGCGGCCTACCCTATCGCTGAACACACCCTCAGCCGAGATAACATGGCGTCCGGCGCTCGTCCCGACTCAGCGCCTGCCACCAGAGCCTCCGCCAATACCGTACCGTGTACAGGCGGTTCTCCAGGCGCCTCGCCTTCCGCTGCAGCTGAAACTGTTTGTTGCGCACCACATCGTTGGCGCCGCCTCGCTTGGCCTGCTTGGGTATCTCCCGCTCCACACGCTTGATCCGACTGTCGATGTCGGCCAGCTGAAAGCGGCCAGTCACGTCCAACCGGTCACCGACTGGTGCGACATCACACATGAAGGCGTCATTCAAACCGAGGCGGTCGGCGTCCAGCCTCCCACCGCACCCGACTAACTTCTCCAAGATAGCCAAACCGCCGCCTCATGCTTACGTGGTAAGCGTTACGATAGTGGGCTTCGGCAGGGGCGCTGGGCACTGGCGTGATAACGGGTGCATGAACACCGGAGTGAAAAGGTGCTAAGGCAAGTACTCGAAAGAGATAGAGATAGAGATATAGATAGGTTTGCAACTGGCCAACCATCCGCCTGGCCACAGACGACCGCATCGCAACAAGTCACCAACGGCACACGTCATCCGGCACCGCCCTATCTCACGAAAAGTCCGGAAGCAAAATCATTTTGTGAACGGAGCGGCAGTGTGGAAAATGGGTTCCGCGCGCACGCAACACGCTCTAATTGGAAAGTGCCTGAGCCTAAACGCATCTTTGCAAAACAATCCGAAATGAATTCCAGAGGGAAAACGCGTTAAACCGGCGGGAGAAGCGCGGGATTGTAATGTACCTCGTGTTCTCAGTTCAATTGTGAGCTGCATGCTACACCAATCAAGGACTAAACAGCTGTGCAATAAGACGAGATACATGGCGTCAGCCAACAGTACACGTGAAGTGCTAAACACATCCAGAAACGACTGACTGAAACCTTAATACACTGATGACGTGGCGAAGATCTTAGTAACCATGTTCTGTCTAAACACTTCTTAGAAAACATTTGAGCCACATTAAACTAAATTACATAGATCATACCATCCATATCTGCTCAGTGTTAACGTGCAAATTAGTTAAACGTGTCTTACTTGCTGCCTCTCCGATTCAATCTCATCGAGAATTTCCTTTTGTCGTTCGACGTAGCCATTAAGTTTCTTAGAAGCGGCTTTATTTTTTCGTACGTTGTAATTGGACTTGATCAGGCTCATATCTGTGTCGATCTCAGTCTTCTCCGCCATTAAGTTGTCGATAATTCGCCTGCATGATGGTCAAGCGAGTCAGATCAGTCTCGCGAAGGCATGTATTCCACACTTTGGTCCATGTATGGCGTGCATTTGCCAGCGTATGCACGGAAAATGTACTTCGAAGCCCGTGGGGAGCTTCCTTTATATATATGACATAATATCATTTAAAACCGATTAAACTGTTCTTTAAGCCATTAAGTCGCTTAAAACCGTAAACCTAACTATTTAAAACGTTTGTACGTTAGATGCACGAATATCGAGCGTGCCTGAAAACACCGAAGAACGTGGACTCCCGCCCTATTCCGCCGTCGGGTGGAGCGAACGTTGTGTAAACAGATTAAAGACAGACATAATGAAAACATAACATAACTTATGTTTATGTCTTTGGTAACTAAGCTATCCCTCCGCAGTGCACATGACAAAAGCCTGGTGTAAACCTTACATATCTTCATATACTCGTGGGTAACGACTTACCAACATTATAGTCTGCATGTAAATATGGTACATGCAATCCACGTCAGTGGACTACGTGGAATTGAGCTGAGAGCTACAACGCTGTCATCTTCCCTTTTCCACCTGCCTGCTAAACCAGAGTCCTAGTAATGGCCTAAATTGCCGGTAATCGCCAGTAAATCCTCATCAACTGCAATGATCAAAGTTGGCAGATACGCCTCTTGCCACAATGATCAGGTGAGAGCACAAAAGTATTGGGTGACCTTTGTTTGCGGAGAACAGTCTGCGTCTCCTTGTAGTATGCCTTCCTGTCGTTGTCCATGATGCGATACTGGCGCTGGAGCCGCGCCAGCTCCGCCTCGGTGATCCCCTCCAGTTCATTTTCCTCCAGATCTTCACGCTTTTTTCGGTTCATCATGGCGGACGAATTGGTACTGAAACGACAACACAGCTACTCTCGCGGAAAACCGACATTATTACCTTCTAGGCATCTATGAGCGTTCGTGGTTGAATTTAAATGACGTCGGTGCACCTGAAACATTGATTCGTACTTAGAAGTATTGCCGGCGGTGCTTGCTGAACGAAATGTTAAGTGGTATTACCGTCACATTAGTGTGGAAAATGCGTCCACAGTTTTTGCTATGAAGTTTTCCTTCTTTTTTTGTGAGACCTCAATACACCTCGACCTGTTTGCCACGCGTAGGTAGGTGGGTACATCCAAACCTACAAACCTCGACTTTTTAACAGGCATCGGAATGATGTACTAATGCCATCGCCGTCAGTCTCGGAATATGTGAATGCTAATAACCTGAAACTGCACCATTTTTTACGACTTTGTACGCCACCAACATTACTTATTGAAGCAGCTGGTCACAAGCCATTCGCAACGCTAAATGCAATCAAAGGACACGCTTAGTCCTCTCTGCCATGCAACAGCAGCGCAGGTGTCTGCCAGCAGTTCGCATCTCTAGGTACCATGGGCTCACCTTTATCGAAGTGACTGGCCTGTTTATCCACAATCAAAACACTCAGGCGTTGCCATACCACTCTTTAAGTACAAAGGGACAGCGCCCCGAACATAAATTTAATTGCATCCATCAATGTTTTTAATCAGTTTTTGCCCACGGTTAAGTATCAAGCAGATGTTGATGCCATCTCTGAATTTCCGCATTTTGCGCGCAACCGCACTTCGCAGCACCTCCAGCTGTTGCGGCGTGCGCCAGTGACGCTGAGGCAAACGTCGCTCGTCGGTTGCCTAGCAACGCGATTGAAATGCAGCGGCGTACACCTTTCGACGACGGCAACGTCGGGAGACGGTTTTGTGTGGCATTGCTGTAAAAATTCACGAAACCCAGAAATCGGAGCTCCGGCAGAACCACTGCCCCCTTCTAGTCTTGTGAGCGCATCCAGGGGCAAGCCTCCATATCTGATTTATGTATGAAACTTGTGTGACTCATGTCTGTGAACGATCGATGGGCAGCAGATCAAAACCATGGCGCCGGTCGCATCAACCTTCATAGGGGGGACGGGAACGTAAAAATATCACGGCATGTGAATGGGCAAGAGACAATACGTTTGATAGCTGGCGTTCTCGTAAATGGTAATTGTCATCGAAATTTCTCATGGCATCACGCTGCACCACCGTGAGGTATGGAGGCACGGGAACCGAGGATGGAAACAGGGGCTCAGACCCACAGCTTCCTAACAGTTTAGCATTGGCTCTGCGGGCGTTGGCCGGAAAGATATCACCCAAACAGCTATCATCTCCTTTCGCCCCATCGTGTAGGAACCCCGTTGCCACATGCCGGCGGAAAAATCTTATCGCAGCCTCGCACCTTCTCAGCTCAGCGCCTTTTACCATACGGACCAATTGGCCTTACGACACGTCAGCAATATGCGTATGTGCAGTGGCAAAAGCTTCACAGGGTGATGTACCATGCATCTTTACCACGCAGCTACTCCACACGCTACAGCTTGAGCGTCCGATTCCAAAAGTTTTGTATTTGCGCATGGAAAAATAACAGTAAATCTGACTATGCATAACGCCGACGACAGGAGCATGCCAACAACACGCTGCTTGAAGATCATAGAGTTCACATGCTCCCTCCAGGTCTGCGCCAACACCGTTTATGGTGCGGCCCTAGGCGCAGCCCATTGTTCTCGGACGTTTAGACTGGCAAAAGGGACCGCGGTATGAGCTGGATCCACTGGATCCAGGCGAAGGCGATGCACGTGACACACTGCTGTTGCGTTGATCCTCTGCGCCGCTCACGGGCGTCGATTTGTTTTCGTTTTTGAGGACCCTGCCCCCCCCCCCCCTCCAATGTTGGCTTGGACACCTAATTTTTTTTTGCTGGAATACTACAAAACCGTGGGTAATAGATGACCGTAACACAAAAACTATCTTCTTTGATCTTTCTGCATAGTAACACCTCGTACCACTCTTATAACAAAAAGTCATGGCTGCTCTCACTACCAGATGCAAATCGTAACAGCTGAGCGCATAAACGATGCAGTAGGCTTCACATACCCAACGCCATAAGACACGTAATGGTTTGTGAGGATAAAGTGAAAAGCCCTGGAATATGGGGATGACGGCTAACCTGGTCCTTCATGGCTAACCTCCTCCCCTTTCCCCACGACCAAAATGCATGTCGCCTTCTATGACCGCAATAGAAGAGCCGATCAAAAGACACGCGTGCGTCCCGTGCCTACTCCCTGGATCGAACCCTGTATTACCGTCATACTGCTTAAATTTAAGACTTTTAAGTTATGCAAGGATTAAAAACATGAATTGCGTTTAATCAAGATAGAGTGGGCTAAGTCCAATGAGAAAAACGGGGAGATCGGTTGACGGGCCTTCGATTTGCCCCTCCCCAAATAAGTTACAAAAAAATGACACCGCTGGCATCACTTGTAAGCAAAGCAAGTTTTCAGTCGCCGTCGCGCGCTGAATCTGCATCCAACCGTGGCTAAACTGGCAGGCAACGCATGAGAATACAATCAGGTTTGGCAACTTGAAGAATGTGTTCCCGCGTGATCTCTTCGCATTGTGAAGAGCAAACTGGGGATATTTAGTTGCCCCGTTGACAGAATGTCTTGAATTGGCAATGATACCGAAAACACGGGCCCATTCACTCAACGGCAATGTTTTAGCGTTGGTTCCTGCCAGGTCGGCCAGCCATTGGCGGAATAGTCACTGGAGGCCATTCCGCTTCAAGTTATGACACCACATAATTTTTACAGATTAAACCAAGCCAGTAAATGCACATATATACACAAAACGGGATGCTTCTGCGACACTCACGACATCTTCCATACCCAAACAAGCATGAGGGTTCAATTTTTCGAAATTTGATCTTATATTGACCTCGCTACTAAAGATTTTGCGCCGCTCCACTCCCTCGTTTTTCTTTTTATCTTGAGTCCTGTAAACCTCAACGAGAATTTAAAATGCTGTCAGCCCTTCCGAGCCCGTCTGAGTGGACCTCAGACTGACCTCGACGATAAAAAGGTTCTCACTTGACACTTCGGAAATTTCGAGCGTCCATAAATTGCAGGCACATCATGTTTGAACACCTCCTAACCCAGCTTTAAACTCAAGGCACGGAAGACATTGAATGTGCTCGGCCAGTGCAGAGAAATATCGCCAAGCGGTCTTTAGGTGTCCTGGTATTATCGCAATACAAGTTGAAGCAGCCTGACCCTCCCGATGTCAGATACCTTAATCAGGGCAAAAATTGGGAATGTTGGCCGCGTGATAAAAATCTGAGGGAAGAACGCATTTTCTCTTCCCACAAATTTGTTAAAATAGGGGAGCCTGTCACCCTCTATCCGACCATGGAGGGGACGCCACACTTTGTGCGTTCTACGTGAAAAATTGAGGGAATGCCATTTTGTAAGCATGTGGGAACACATTCCCAATGGCTATGTCCAGAATGTTATGCATCACAATTCGGTTGAGCACACCCTACTAACCATCATGATGTGCAAAGCAGTTCCTTCTGAAATGTTTCATAGCTGTTTACATGCCGAAGTGAACCATCACTTCGTATTTTTTCTTAGACAGATCGCTGACCAACACAGTGGAACACATTTCCTAGCTTGGCAGTATATACACCAATGCTGGCAGCTTTGGTTAATGGTTCCAAGACAAGACTTCACATCGCATTTCTTCGTGCGCAAAATTTCGTACCGCACGAATTTGATTCGCATTACTTCGTACCTAAATCATCACAGGCGCAACTCTCCATAAGCGCGCAAAACCGTACGAGGAGAAATCCTCGTGACGCAATTCCTTGTATCCGTAAAACTAGATGTACGTAATTCTTCGCACCTGTAAAGCTTTGTTAATGCGAGTTTTTCGTACAGAATTGCTTGCTACCTACACGCATTTCTTAGGCGTACAGTGATTCATATTCGCTTCTCGTGGTAAGGGTCTTATTAGGGGTCTTCTTAGTATTTGCAAAGGATCGAGTGTGTTTCCTTACCGGGATGCAGCAAAGGGCTGGAGGTGAGCATTCATCAGGCCTCCCCATCCCGTCGTCTGAATTGAGGAGGTTTGTTCACCACGACGGAATTTAACATTAGTTTGTAACACGGTGCTCGATCAACAACAATATTTTTTGTTCAGATCTCATTGGCGATAATGGACAGTGACATGACACACCAGGGATGTATTTTCGAAAAATAGGTTGGTGGCTGAATACGAAAAAATGACTGAACTTGTCTCCAAAAATGCAACAAAAACAGGGTTCTTCTCCGCTTTACGCCAACTTCATCCTCAAAGCTGGGTGGTGGGGGCTCTAGTTTCGCGAGCTGAATAGGCAATTCCTACCTTACGTCGCGCCCAACAGCGGTAGGCAAGTGACAAGGTGAGCGAATAGCCGAATAGATGTCAGCGACAGCTTTCAGAGCCAGGGTAACTAAGCTGATGATGTTTCATAGTACTTTCATACTGCATTGATGCGTAAGGCACCGCACATGAGTTTAAGGTTCCTGCAGTCTGTGCGCAGTGCGTAGTTACTCTGACTTAAGCTGGGCTTTGTTTCCAAATAAAGTAACACAACCCTCCGTTAGACATCCAAGTAGCGCCAACCCCGCCGCAAATCGTGGCAGTCGCCGCTTGGTGTCCGGGCGGCGCCGGGCTGTTTATTTACAGAGGGCGCCGCCGCTGCGCGCGTCGTCAGGATGACGTGGCCTTCAGTCGGTGGAGAACTGAGGCGGGGGAGGGGCGGTCCGCGCGGTGCTCCCGCCTCCTGCCGCCTGTAACAACGGTGCACAGTGAGACCACGCCGGTGCCGAGTGCGGAAGAGCCTCGAGACCGCTGCTACCATGGCGCTCATTCTCTCCCACCTGATCGAAGCGTGCTCGCCGTACATTCCCGTGCTGATCTTCTTGGTGGCCATCGCCGTGCTGTTGGGCGACCGATCTCAGCGGGCGGGGATCCTGCGAAAGATCCCCGGCCCGCCGGCATACCCGCTGCTCGGCAGCCTGCCGGACATGCCGCGGAACACGCGCGAGATCGTGCCGGTGATGCGACGTCTTTGCGAGCGTTTCCCGGGCGTCATGCATACCAGTCTCGGCTCAATCCACTACGTGGTCGTGTCTTCAGCCGAGGCTGCGGAGCCGGTCCTGAGCAGCAAGCGCTTTCTGGACAAGGGCATCGACTACGGTCCGGTGCGACCCTGGCTGGGCCTTGGTCTGCTCACCAGCACCGGTGACAAGTGGCACACGCATCGCAAGCTCATCACGCCCGCCTTCCACTTCGCCGTCCTGGAGCCGTACCTGGAGGTGATGAATGAGTGCAGCGGCGCGCTCGTGCGGCGACTGCGAGCAGCCGGCACCGGTTTCATCAACGTCTGGCCGTTTATCTCGGACGCCACGCTAGACGTTATTTGTGAGACGGCAATGGGCGTGAACCTCAGCTTCCAGTCGGGATCTGCTTCCGAGTACAAGGCCGCCCTGCAGACTATGGGAAACATCATTCACATGAAATCCCTCAGGCCTTGGCTAAGGAACGATTCCATATTCTGGCTCCTAGGTTGGAAGCATACCC